CTCGCGCTGAAACTCCAAATACGCCTCGCAGAAGAAACCCAGGAAATCCCTATAGCAGTTGCTGAATAACCAGAAGATTCAACTGCTTTCATTCGTGACTAGTGACTAATAAACACACGACTACGACAATATATGGTTTATCTGAGTTCGTCTTATTATAATATAATAAAGATATCTATAATGCAATGCTAATCGACATAGCCTTTATCACTGCTTAGAATACTATGAAATATGTTGCGTGCCTTATTCTGTGTAAGAAGCCACATCATCTCACAGAAGGATTTATTTCAAACACTCGCCTGACGTTACGAAGTGAGTTTGGAGTAAAAATATGTTATTAAATGTGGTATTTTCACGTGCTTTCAGATGGAGCAGCATTTACTTCACAGAGCCGTAGTTCACTGAGAAGCTACGCAAACAGCTGTCATTATAATAATTCGATTTTATAATCATACGATTATATTGTCTGCAATTTTTTTTGTGTAGCTTGTCAGAGAACTACTGCTCTGTGTAGTAAATGCTACTCCATCTGAAAGCAGGTGATGGAGATTTACTACTGATCACAGAACCGGCTTTACTGACAAGATGTGCATGACAATTGCATTTGATTAATCATGCAGCCCTATTACATATAATTTGGTTGAAAAACAAAGTGTTGCACTTTTTTTGGTGCAAAGATGAGTAGTGGTGATATTTTTTTTGTACTTCATTTGCAACTGATTTTTATCCCTTAATTAGAACCACCGCAAATTAAATTGTGTCATGTTATAGGGACTACTGAACAGACATTTAGAAGTTGATTTTAAAATGCAAAGTATTTAAAATAAAAATAAAGCTATGTAAACGCTTGCATTTTTACAACACTATAAGTGTGTCCCATCAGGTAATGAAAAGTTCGACACACACTTGAGCTCTTGGGCCAAATACAGGAAATACATCATATAAGTAGTCAAGTGCTCAAGTGTGTGTATTTGGATGAAGGGTAAGTTACACGTGATCACAGTGTTTTGAAGGCACTGTAAATGTCTGTCTGTTCTAATGCAGATATTTCCTGAGCACCGAGGGCTCCTCGAGCCGCCGGCAGATCTTCAGGTGAGATTCATGTGTGTTCGTGTCTGTTCCTCAGAGTTAAACCTCAGATTCATGAAATACTTCAGCACTGTGTCCTGATTTAATGAGCGTGGGTCGTGTTTACAGTTTTTCTCAATTGCTAACACACAATTCAGGAAACAATTCACCATTTTCTCACAACTATAAACACAATCTTAAAACTACACACAAACGTGTGCAAACCTCAAACTTCCAGGTCAAAATCAAATAGTTTAGTCAAAAACATGTTCTCTTTTGTCAAACTCAAACTTTGGTCTCAGATGACACACAAACCTGCCAAACCTGACACACTACTTCACTGCCTAGAGAACACTAGTGAGATCAATTCAAAACACTGTTACAAAAACCTACTTTTGGGAAATAGGAATCCTTTTGCTAGTCAATCACTGTTACAGTATACAACATAAATAGAGCGGTGCAGATACAGTAAGATTCAGCATTAAATTGTAAGAAAAGTTTACTGTCATTACATTACTGTAAAGAAATCTTACAGTAAATGAAAAGCACTAGAAGAGAAAAGTACAAAGACCAAACAACTGAATATACAGTAAACACAGATTGGAATATACTGTCAGTTAGTGTTGTCACGGTACCAAAATTTCAGTATTCGGTAACTCCTCTATCAGGTTTAGAAAGGGAGAGTATGCAGGCAGCAAGATGTTAGAAAACCTCGGGTTATTGGTAAACCAGTCACGAACCAGAGCAGCGCGATGGAAGCTGACATTATCCCAAACAAGAATGTAACGAGACTGCTCTGGCTGTGCTGGTTCCCTGAGGTCCAGCTGGAACATTAGACCGTTAAGGAAAGCAAGGAGGAGCATAGTGTTGTAGGGTCCTAGAATGACATGACGGTGGAGTACCCCTCGTTGGCTGATGGCTGCACACATAGTGACATTCCCTCCACGCTGACCAGGGACGTTTACAATAGCCCGATGGCCAATTATGTTCCTCCCCCTTCTCCTTCTTTTGGTCAGGTTGAAACCAGCCTCATCCACAAAGATAATTTCATGGGGAACAAAATATTACGCCAAATAGAAGCAGAAAATCGTGCTATACGCACTTTCATGAGACCGGGTTAGCCTACAACAATGAATTTGTTGGCTATTTTACAAATGGGAACACAACGAATTCATGACAATGTTTACATTCAAGCTACCCGTAAAATTAGTGAAAAGTACTTTAAAAGCGTCTGGAATGCAATAAAGTAATTTTTAAGCTGTTTTTAAAGCATTTGCTGCATGGATAAAAACAGGCTAATAAATAATTCACATATCAGACAAAATTGCATGCAGCAAATCCTTTAAATTTTAAGGTATTCAGAACAGAGCAAAATAAAATTCAGAAAATATAAGCAGCTATGCAATTATAGGACAAAGTTTTACATATATGCCATCATAATTTGTTTTATTTTTAATTGTACAGAATTATAAAATAAAACGCTAATTATAATCGGACTTGTTTTAGGCTTTTGCTTATTTTTATATTTTAGACATCCATCAATTATGGTGATGAAAAATTCAGTTCATCATTCAGCACTCCTGTTCGAAACCGAGATGGCAGAATGCGCATCCCCTGTTTTCCTATTTATTTTATAAAAGCACAACGTTTTGTTGATATTGTGAGTGCACACAAATAAAACTAGACCCTTTACAGTTAAGAATGATGTATTTCTCTTACCTTTATGAGCAAAAATGACTGAGTATTTCAAGTTGTTTCCACTGTTAGAAAGAAATGCGAGTGACAGCGCTGGTGCCTCCATGTGCTGCAGAGCTTCAGCTTCCGCTCTCCGCACAAACT